GGGTCACCTCGGACCGCAATATAGCCATCAGTAGTAGCGCTTACCCGATGACTGATGGATATCAACGCCTTTGCTTCCTACGACCATGTCACTTCTCGGCCTCCCACCAGAGCTTCGTGCTATCATATTCGATTTCTGCTTTCCGTCTCCTCAAACACTGGTTCAAATAATTCCCTACCAAACTTCTCTTCCCGCCTGCCGCCTCAATCTCCCATTGGCCATCTACGGCGTGTGCAGATGCATCACCTCCGAGCTCGAGCCGCTCCCTGACAAGCTCCGCCGCCTGGACTTTACCTACATCATCCGTGGGCCTCTGCTTTCCCGTGGGTGGCGTCCAGAGTACGGCTCGAAGCACGACGACGACTATGCCCACTTCCCCTTCATCATGCGATTTGCGCAGCGCGTGCGCCTCGTGGGCGCTGGCCCCATCGTGTCGCACGGACGCACCCTTAGCTCAGCGATGCGCATTCTCGTCCCTGGCCCGGAGTGCGCGCTCCGCATCCTGGAGGTCCAGCCACGCGCATGGCGCAAGTGGGATGTCGCGAGGATCATGCTCGAACACCTCGGCGCGCTGACGACGCATCCCGACGTTGCCGCGCGCCTCGAGGTGCGCCTCATCCGCGCCACCGAGGATCCGCTCGAGGATTCGGAGGTGGTTAAGACGCGCTTGCGGGATTTCCAGGCTGGGCGGGAGGACTCGGGACCGATTTGGGTGAATTTGGCGGTCCTCGAGAAGCCGGAGCCAGCTGTGGTAACAAACTTTCGAGGGATCGAGGCATGGTTGAAGCGGTTCCAGGAAGTGAGGGGGGCGGATGTAGCGCAGCGCGCCCAGAAGGATGGGCCGCTGGGAGGGCTTGATGACTCGGATGATTCGGAATAGCGGTGGGCACCCTCGCTATACTTAGGAGGTCGACAGGTTCTTAGACTCACCTGAAAAGACAAAGACCGTGCGAACAGCCTCACGCGCAGGCTTTGAAGCATTTGACTCGGGGAGAACGACATACATATATGGAGGAACGCTCCTGAAGGGCGACAGACAAGAGCCGTTTGTAGAGCGCAAAGTACCAAAGAGCACTGAGAAAGCCGTGGCCCGTTAAGCTGGTCCAAGGTTAAAAAATGCGACTCGTGGCGACCGCCGCCGCCGACCGCGTCCGTGTTTGTAAATTGTGACGCGTCCACCACTGTCTGGACCCACGACCTCCGCCCATCCGCCGTCGCCAGGTTTCAGCAGAGATGCCAGAATACAAAAAGGAAGCGAGAATGAAGCAGGAAGATACAAGGGCCGTCTTGGGATGACAATTGGCCGATGACAGTTGTGAACAAGAAAACAAGGATGCTGTTTGGCTCTGCTGTGGCAGCGTGACCAAGCGGACGTAAACAAACAGCTCATTGTCGCCGCCAAAACGGAAGAATGGACGTGGATCCCCGCATTGTGTACTGCGCGGGGTTGGCGCGGGGTATAAATACTGGGCGCGCACGATGGCAACATTAAGACTCCCCGTCTACCCTCTCTGCTCTCAACGCCTCTAGCCAGCTTCTGTTTGCTCTACGTTCTCCTCTGTTACTCTCGGATACTACCTGCAATATCTGCAACATCCCGCTCTTATTCAACGACCTTCACGCTCCTGGTATGTCGTCCCCGCTCTAATCCAGGCTTTTACCGATTTTTTTGGATAGTCTTTGCTTTTCTTTGACTTTTTGTCATCCTCGATTTTAGTCCATTCTACGCCTCTCACGCTTGGTACGCCCCCCTTCCCTCCTACTTCGCCTCCAGCTCATCCTGCCCTCACAGATCCCATTCAAAGTCATTCCCGGTCGAATGTCTTCGTCTGCCATCCCCCACGTCATCGCCTTCCTCACCCGGCCCCTGCTCACGACCTTCCCCACGGACACGATCAGCACCGCACAGCTTATCCTCACCGCCTCCTTCGCGTCCTCGCCCGCCGCGACCCTCACGCTCAACGCTAACACGCCGCCTATGCCCATTTTTGCGGCCGCAATCGGCGCGAGCATCCCGTGGCCCGTCTGGTTCGCAGCCCTCGCCTCAGGGAACGAGTCCATCCTCCTCTTCTACGGGCCGGGCTACTTGGAGGCCCGCGTCGGCGCTGAACCCGTCACCGATGTCTGGAGCGAGGACAGCGAGGGCAGCGTCGTGCCCATTGCGCGCTCGCGCGTCAAGGTCGCCGCGCCCCTCCTCCACGAGTCCACCGGCGTGCGCCTGCGGGCCACTCTCCTCTCCGCCCGCGTGCGCAGCATGCGCCGCGCACAGCAGGCGCAGGCGATCCGCATCCCCTGCCTCCCCACCTCCGCGACCGACTCTGACTCCGATTCCGAGTCTGACTCAGGCTACTCTGACTCGGGCTCGGACCGCTCGACGACGTCGTCCCTCACCACCGCTGCGAGCTCTGCGCCCGCCTCGCCGCTCAAAGCCCGCTCGCTCGGCCTCCCGACGCCGCCTGGCCGCGTCGCGCCTGCAGCCCCCGCGCTCTACCGTGCACCTCGCCCCACCGCCACCACCACGAACACCACTCCTCGCCCCCGCCTCCCTCTCGGGAAGCTGACGTCCGCACCTGTGCCGAAATGCGCTCTGGTCCCCGCCGCCGTTGACCCGACGAACAAGAGCACCACTGCGTACCTCTACTCGGGCGGCGTCACGCGCGTCATGACTGGCGGCGTCATGCTCGGTCCTCGCCCCAGTGTCGTCGCATTCAAGCGCTCCTAATCGAAGTCTTACGCCCCTCGGATGTGACTCGATGCGCTCTCGACCCCACGTTCGCATTCTTCACTCACAACCTCTGTAGCCCCTCTCGCACCCTCTGTAGCTAAGCTCTCTGTACTTTACATTCGGTAGGTATATCACATTAGTACTTGTATTCTGTAGAACCTGAATATTAAATGCCACCTTGGCCTACTGCACTAATACAACGCTTTGCGCCTTTTACGAATGCGGCAGGTTTATAATTTCTCAGATCATCCAGCGCGTATCACTCTGTCCGAGTCTGTCGATGTATATAAGTCTGGACTCGCGCCACAGACATATTAGTTTGGTTTCACAAGCCGCAGGCGCCTGAGGCAACTGAGCGAATGAAAAAAATAGAGTCTAAGCACATTTATATATGCTGTTCAGGGAAAGACGTTGTACATTCATCAAACACCGCCCACCAATCCAAGCTATGGGTCTAGCTAGCTTCCGCTAACTTCATACGCTCCACATTCAAGCCCGACTTACCCCCCCCCCCCCCCGCCCCCCCCCCCCCCCCCCCCCGCGCAATGCTGCATGATTCATTTGCGCGCCATGCAGGCTAGTGTCGAGCCAGGCATACAACGCGACCTTGTTGTGGACTTGTGCGACGTTGCCTCAAGTATCACGGTCCGATTGAGATTGTCGACCGGGCTTGACATCTGAGGAGGGAATTGGTTCGGATGCATAGAAGGAAGGAGAGGTCTTACTCGTTATAATGCTCGTCTGCGCGTACAGCCAAGTCGTTGACTGCGAGCTACCCTTCCCTGGCTCGGTTGCATCTAAGGCGAGGGGATTGTCAGATAAGAGCGCAGAAAAATGAGGAACTAGGCTCACTCGTTGCGATCCCCCACGGATGTAAATGCGAACTGCTCTTCCACATAACTCCGTCCTCAACCGATCACAGCGACCCCTCGCGACGGTCGATATCTAGTTTTCTCCGTGGCGTTGTACCTAGCGGAAAGCGGTACAAACAGTGCGGCCTTGATGGCATCGTGCACCGTCTGAAGCTAAAAAGTGTGAGCTCGAAGGCGCGCAGAGGAATGAGGAAGAAGCTTACTCCTCATGATACCCTTCCATCATCGAACCCATCGCAGCGCCTCCCACGCCGTTGATATCTCTTCTTCTGCACGTCGCAGCACCTAGCAAGGAGCGGTGCGTATGGCGCGGCCTTCATGTCATCGTCAAACGCCGAAGCCACCTGAGAAGGGTGTAGGCCTGAAGACGCGCAGAAGGATTGAAGAGTGAGCTTACTCGTCACAAATCCCTTCCATAATCCAACCCCCCGCGCCGTTTATGTCTCTTTTGCTCCGCGTCGTAGCACCTAGTGTAAGGGGACAAAGGTGCCATACGTCGGTCTAGGACCGCGTCGGCGGGTCGTACAGCCGGACTCTGCTGATTGACTGGCGAGCGAGCTGGTGCTGAGAGAAGGATTAGACCTTGCGAGTAGGATGAGGATGAAGGGAGCACGCACGGTGCTCGTCAGCCGCAGATGCGGGACTGGCGATGGGCGCTGAGGACTGTGAGTACTGAGACAACGAGGAGTGGGAAGAGTATGTACATCCGCGAGCCGATGAACGGCGGCCCTAGAGTGAGCTGGCTACTCAGCTTGTCGAGCAACACCTGAACATCGAACGCGTTAGGGCGACCCACAACGACGACGAGTGGAAATGCTCACCGAAGGGTAGATAGGCTAGAGGCCCTATGCACGCTGTGTTGCATGAATCTGGGTGGTTGGCCGAAGCCGGGGCTCAATGCGCATGAGGCTGGGGAGCGAGCGCAGAGCAGGGTGCCCGAAGGCGAGCTTGAAAAGACTGAGGGATCTGCTGGACCCTAGCTGTATCTATACTGGGGCGACTGACTGTCTTACTGTCGGGTGTGGGCTGATGAAGGTCTCGGTTGATCGAATGGAGAGTTTGAGCGCCCGCCTGTTGCCGTGCTCGATTGAGCAGTCCCACACGATCGAGCCGCCGTTTAGACAGAACCGCCCATCAATCGCCCGCGACTCGAAGTCGTCGGCTCCGACAGATGTAACGGGTTATATCGATGATGTTGCAGCCGCAGTGGAAGATGGCGGATGCATCAGTGCGCCAGGTGCACCGGTGAAGGTTGGGTGAAGGTTTGCCAGCAAGTTCAGAGCGTCGGCCGACAGAAAACCAGTGACCGGTTCAGGTACTTATGCATTATGAGTCACATCTTGATAAGGCAGCGATCAGAGAGCTAAGTAGTGTAGTAAGCACCAATGACATTGCCGTAAACAGGGCGCATGGTGTAGTTGGTTTATCACGCTCGCTTAGCAATTTCCGAAATCTGCGAGAGGTGTTGGGTTCAATTCCCAATGCGTCCATGTTTTTCCTCCTGGTTCTCGGGCGGGGTCGGTAGCAAAAAAAAATCTTACACAATTGAGCAATATTCCCGTTGAAATAACGAACAATTCGTAAGCACGAGATCGAGAGCCACATTAGCAGGATTTAGTATAGACTGTCTGGAGTATCAGTCTCCGAAGACCACTACACTTATGCTTGTGAAGTTTAGGCGCAGGGACCAGCGGGAGAGCGGGGCTGAACAATAACAAGACTCAGTGTTGCGGAGGCAAAACTTCATATATAGTATGTACCTGAACAATAACAACTGTCTACAGGTCAGTATAGGTGTAAGGTATGGGATATAGAACTCACGACTCAGTGTTGCGGAGGCAAAACTGAGGCGTGAGAATATGACACGCAGTAGGTAAATAGAACGGCGAAAATATAGGTAAGCAGTCCAAGATAAGATAGCTAGTTGTTAGTCTCTCTAAGACAGACGCTATGATGAACAAGCTCGTTCCTCGCTCATCTTAGTCTGTTAGTTACCGCGCCCTTGTGACAGGCGTCGCATCTTATTATGTAATGATGGGTGATGCACAACCAAACAACTCATTTAATTCACGCGTCTTTGACGCGTTTCTGCCTCTTACTTCGCATTTAGACACACATTTTGGCTGGAGGAAGGTTAACAGAGCTAATCGATTACTTCTGACCGGTTTTCTGTCTTCTTCTTGCTGAAATGTATTTCCTCACCTGTGCTCGGCTAGTTTGATCCACTGTACTTCATTCTCCATTCCTGCGTGATACATATAAGGCAAACAGCTATCCAATGGGTATTTAGTGCGGTACATACTCTATTCCTCACGCTTTGATGGCCCAACGATGCTTGCGTCGCGTCCGGCGCGTCAAGTCGCGTCGACCAATGTCCGCACGTGATTTCCTAAAACGGTGATTACATAATAAGGCTCGTCGCCTACTGTCAGGGCGTGGTAACCACAGGACTAGCTAGTTGTCCATATCTTAACACTCCCCCTCACGCCGAAGCGGGGTACTCGAGAACACCGAGCATCTCGCGAAAGCGCGTGAATTTTGGACGTGAAAGGGATTTGGTGAATATATCGGCAATCATGTCGTTAGTTTTACAGTAGGGGATCGTTGCGTCGCCGTTGGTCACAGTCTGGCGGATAAAATGGAAGCGGTTGTCAATATGTTTTGTACGAGCATGGAAAGCGCCGTCCTTGGTCAGGGTGATGGCAGATTGATTGTCACAGAAGAGTCGGGTTGGGCGCTGTACCGGTATGAAGATTTCGGCAAGAAGTTTCCGAAGCCATAACAGATTCTTAGATCCATGGGTGAGCGCGACATACTCCGATTCTGTGCTAGAAAGAGTGACCAGGGGCTGCTTCTTCGAGCTCCAATCGACGAGACTGTTACCGAGGAAGAACGCGTAGCCAGACACTGAGTGACGGTCCATGTGCGAGGCCCAATCAGCATCAGAATATCCGGTCAGCGTCAAATCCGAGCCGCCGAGGACGAGTCGGTGATGCCGCGTACCCGAGAGATACTTGAGGACACGCCGAAGAGCTTTCATGTGTGTAGTGCGAGGCGCATGCATGAATTGAGATAGGTTCGAGACGTGGTAAGTGATCTCTGGATGAGTGATGGTCGCGTACATCAGAAATCCGACACCCTTGCAGAATTCAGCCGTTTCCGAGTGCGTGAGAACCTGTGACGAAACAGCGGGTGAATCCAGTGAAAGATCCAGACCGGGTTCCATCGGGCACACGTTGGGAGCCGCGTTGGACATGCCCATATGAGCTAGGATCTGCTCAATATAGGCAGTCTGGCTAAGGGAAATGGTCCGGGCTTTCCTATCTCGTACGAGATGGATGCCGAGTAGCCAATTGATTTCCCCGAGGTCGACGGTCTCGAAATGCTCGTTAAGCTGCTTTTTGATACGGCTGACATCTACGACTGTCTTCCCGATGATGGTGAAGTCATCGGTGGCGGCCGCGACGATTGTGGACTGGTCCCGACTGATAAACACGGCTTGGTCGGCCTGCAGAACCGAGTACCCGAGCGAAACAAACGTGTCGCGCAGTTTGATGTACCAGGTTCGGCCGCCTTGTTTGGTGCCATACAAGCCCTTGTTAAGCTTACAGACGAGACGTTGTCCAGGAGAAACTGGAGGAAGAGGAATAGAGCTGAGTTTTTCATAGAATTCCGGGATGGCCATATAGATGGTTTCGTCAAGCGGCGCGTTGAGGTACGCATTTTTGACATCGGCCTGATGGATCTCCCAGTTGTTGGTGGCCGCGATGGTGAGTAAGACGCGGAGAGTTGCGTGACGAACGACGGGTGCATAGGTATCTGTGTAATTAATGCCGTATACTTGGGTTTTCCCGTTTGCGACTAGTCTGACTTTGCGCTTGAGAAGCTCGTTGAATGCGTTGAGCTTGCGCGTGAGAACGTAATGGTTGCGAATTATATTCGCGCCAGCAGGAGCTACAACGACGTCCCAAGTTTTGAGCTTTTCGAGCTGTGTGAACTCGTCCTGGGCAGCTGACATCCAGTGTTTGGAATCAGGGCCTTTGATTGCGTCACGCAAACTCATTGGCACGTTCTCGGTCACCATCGCAAACTCGACGACCTGGCTGCAGAGCGCCGTCACCTCGACATCCATTCGCAGGTCGGGGTCATCCTCCCGCTCGTCCTCGAGAATCTCGAACGCCGCCGCCACATCTTCTGTGTCAGCAAGACTGGCTTTGCCCTCATTCAGTTTGTGATAGAAGCCTGGCGGCTTTCGTTCACGATGGCCGCGTCCCGTATTCGGTTCGGGCTGAATTAGACCATCGCCTCGTGGTTGCCGTGCGTGTGGAGGTGGTGGTGTCGGCTCAATGTGCACAGGAGGTGGATTCGTTGGCACGGGGTTAGGTTCGGGAGAAGGGGACTTGCGGAGATTTTCTGGGACTGGAGGCTCAACGGTGTCGGTGAGTCCCTCCGCTAGCTTATCGCCGTCGTCGCTTGCGCCTGCGGGCGGTGTTTTCGATGGGTTTGGAGCCGTCGATGCCTCGGGAGTTGCAGGGAAGTCATCATCACCCCACTCCCCCTCGATCGAGGCACCGTCGGGCTCGCGCGCGGCTTTCTCGTCGAAATAGACATCCCTCTCAATTGTAACCCTTCGCTTACCCGGCCAGTAGATGCGGAACCCTTTCGCTTGCATGTCGTAGCCCACGAAGTGGACTTTTACGGCCTGTATATCAAGATCCTTTGCGCCTTTTACTTTCACCCACACGGGCGTGCCCCAGGTCAACAGCTTCGAAAGGTTTGGAATCTTCTTCGTTGCCGCCTCCAGCGGGGTCTTATAGTTTGGTAGCGCGGCCGTTGGCGAGCGGTTACGCAGCCATACCGAGTGGAGCCAGCTCTCGGCCCACAGGAACTTCGGCAGGTTCGCGTGCACGATCATCGCACGGGTCTGCTCGACATGTGTACGCATCGCACGCTCCGCGATTCCGTTGTCGCTGGGCGTGTCGTGGACGGTGAGTCGGCGATCCGTTCCGATTTTCTCGAGATATGCATTGAACTTCGCAGATGTGAATTCTCCCCCTCGGTCCGATCCGAGTAGCTTCACGGCTGCTCCCCCGCGCTGGCGCTTGACCCACGCCTCGTACATTTGATACTTTGCGAAGGCGTCGGACTTTTTCGGCAAGAAGTAAGCCTTTTCTTCATGCGTCGATAGGTCCATCGGGGTCATGACGTATCGCGCGCCGCCGAGCGAGGTCACTGAAAACGGGCCTTTTAGATCAATTACGACCTTGTCGCCGTATTTCTTCGGCCGCGGGTTCAGGGCTACCTTCGGTATCGGCTTTCGCGCCGCCTTCGCCTGCACGCACACCTCACAGAATTGAGGCTCGGACGACATGTCCAGGTCGATCCCGGTGATCGTACCGGCCTTCACGGCGTGCTTCAACGCATTCTGATCAGCATGTCCCATGAGTGTGTGAAGCTGGAACAGCGTGATCTTGTCGGACGCGAGGTAAGCTGCCGCTTCCGTGATGGGTGCGAGTTTGGCTAATTTGCCGGCACGATATAGGCCGCGGACCATTGGGAAGATCGCGATGGTCTTCCGCTTTGGTTTAGGCGTTGCGATGGTGCAGTTTGCATCTTCGATGTGGACCGCGTAGCCGGCGCGATCGAGCGTGCTGACGGATATGAGGGTGAAGGCCATGTGGGGAGAATAGTAAGTGCTTCGAAGTGTTGCGCGCGTCGGTTTATGGTTGACACCCATCGGTAAGTAGGTGTTGTAGTCCCCTTTACCGGTCGCATGGAAGGTTCGGCCGTCTGCGGCGCGAATGGGTAAGGGAGGGATCTCCACAAGGTTGGTGAAGTTGTCCCGATCGGGAGAGAAGTGCCGAGTTGCGCCGCCGTCGACGATCATGTCGCAGCGTGCGGAACGGTCTACGGAGTAGGCGCCGGCCTCATCCCGGAAGTCGGACGACACGTTGAGTGCAACATTGTCGTTGTCGTCCTCTTCGGGGATGCCGATCAGCAGCGCGATGTCGTCGGACTCTTCGTCCTCGTCATCGGCTGCTGCAGCCGCTTTCTCCTTCTTTTTCTTCCCCGCCTTCTGGTGCTTCAAGAACCATTCAGGTGGGTCCTTCTCTTTCCCGCCGCCCTTCGCATAGCAATCGGCCTTGACATGCCCCTTTTTCTTGCAGTTTGTGCACTTGACTGACTTTTTCTCCTTTTCCTTGGCTGCCGCCGACATCGCAGAGTTTTCGTTCTCGCGATCGATCACCTTGTCAACGCTGCGGCTCAAGTACTCATTCGTGAGCTCTTGGATCATCAGCGCGCTGTCAACTTGACGCGGTGGAATGGATAGTCGGGCGGAGGTCGTGATGGTGGTAAGGAGTGATCGGTAGTGCTGGGGGATCGACGCGCGGATGTACGCGCCAAACTGCAGGTCGGAAAGTGGGTTCCCGCCCTTTATGAGCATGTCTTTGAGTTCTGACATCTCCATCAGGTGCTTTTGCAGGTCGCC